TTCCCGGGGCCTCAGCCAATGTGTCTGCACCACCCCCAGACTGACAGCCCCGGCAGGTGCCTGCTGTGGGAGTCAGACCAGCCCCTGCGGACTCACGGTCGGAAAAGTCTGCTAATAAAGGCTGTGGTTCTTCCAGAATTTGCTCCAAGTTTTAGGTCGGGGGAGTCTGGGAGGGCAGAGGGCAGGGATGGGAGCCTGGGGAGGGTGTGGGAGGAGGTGGTCACAAAGACCGTATTGGCCTGCCCTGCTCCAGGCCCCAGGAGCCCAGGAGAAAGTGTGGAGACCCCCTTGGCTCTCTCTGCCATCACTAGCCCAGCCTGCCTCCGGCAGCCACTCCACGGTGACAAGACACGAGCCCTGTCCCAGAGGCCTTCAGTGCAGCTGGCACCAAGGGAGGGGCAGGGCCCGAGCCCAGCACTGGTGGGATCCTGTGACCTCATCCAGTGCACGCTGGCGTCTTGGCCTGCCCTTCAGCCTCTCTAGGTGCAAACAGGACCACCCTTGTCCACGCCGAGGTGCCCTGGAGAGCCAGGGCGGGCTGGGGCTGGGGGTTATGCTCTGACCAACTGACCTACTGGGACGGAAATCAGAGGGCAGCTCCAGGAGGGGCTTGTGGACAGGCTTCAGAGTGGGTGAGACTGTGTGGGCCTTCAGGGGTGCCCAAGCCCAAGGCCCAGAGAGTGGGCTTCTGGGGAGGGGCCACGTGGCCTGGTACTGGTCAGTGGTGAGGGCCTGGACCTCAGGCTCCACAGAGGAGAGAACCAGCCAGTTCCAAGGCAGGTCTGCTAAGTGGTCCCCAGCGCCCCACAGAGCTGTTAGCTGCAGCAGTTGCTGTTCCCGGCAGGGCAGTTCTTGCTGGGAGGCGTTCCGGTGAGTCAGCCTTGGGCTTGGCTGACCAAGGGAGCGGAGGTCCTGGCCCCGATGCTGCCCAGAGAATGCACAACCAGGACCCTGAATGGGAGGGTCCGGGCAGCCTGACCGGCCCCAGAAGGCAGTCCTGGACCAGCCTGGGGGAGGGGCGTCTCCTGAGAACAAAAGACCCATTTCTAGACTTGCTGATCTGGGGAGCCCTCCCTAGGAGAGTGTGAGCACAGCCACGCCAAAACACACGCCCGCGCGCGCAGGCGGCCTGGGCTTGTCCACGCCCTTGTCCTGGCTGCTGGCTCAGGACGCGACTGTGGGTGGCTGGGACACTGTGGTGCTGCCTGCGGTCTTTCCTGTAGGGATTTTGTTCCCGAAATGTAAGGAGGACCTTCCTGTAAGGTGCTGGTTCTAACCTGACCACGGGGAACGTTGAGTCGGTGGTGACGGCGCACTGCTCCCTCTCCCCCATCGAGGACTCTCCCCGTCCCCCCAGGAGTCCTCCCACACAGGTCCCTCCAGGGGCAGGTGACATCAGAAGCCACCGCTGTGCTCCCACCCTGGTCCACCCTGGCCCGGCTCCTGGGACAGTTCCCGACATGGACGGTCTGGGCAGTGGCCAGGGCCAGGTTCAGGGAAGGCAAAGTGCCCGCACACCCACGGTTCACTCGGGTCTGCGGCAGTGCCCTGGGGCAGGAGGGTCCCTGCGCACCCTGTGCCCGTCGCTTGCCTTCCCCTGGGCTCGGGCCAGCTCCAGCCCTTCCCTGCCTG